GGACCACGGACGATGACGTGTTTTATGTTCTGTGACATGTGATTTCCAATTCGCCTAATTAATTCCCCCCATTGGCATGGTAGTTACAATAATAACCTCATGGGTGACCGGGCCCGTGACAAGCTTGTCACTCACTGCACTTCCTCTTCATCAACCAGATTGTGTCACTAAACCTTCACAGCTTGTTTAGTTCCATCCCTCCATGATGAATGATGTACAGTGGCAAAGAATGTTTTCAGCAATGCATCGACAGCTCCAGTTCCTCCGGTTCTGGCCGTGTTAATCCCCTCCTGTTCCCCTTTCAAATCTTTTACACAGAGCAGGAATACATTGCCATTATGTACATATCTGAGCCATTGTTTGATAAAGGGTTTGCAGAGATACCAGGAGCTTTTTCTTTTTTTCCTTTACAATTGGGACAATGTTTGCTCCGAGCAGAGGTTAAAGTGTATGGGCGTACAATCTCGAGACCATTGTTTTATCTAAAGACATGTATTTTCATGTTTAAGGGTGCTGGGGGAAAAAACAAAACACAAAAAAACGAACACGGCGTACAAAAATGCCAATTGTCTTCTCTTTTCCTGCCATGGATGTGAAGGTTTTGGGAAAACAAGCGTGCGCATAGGACCAATCATCCAATTTGTGACTTGAAATGTTTAAACAATCTTATCTGTTTTTCTAATTCTACCCCGCTGTCAGTGCCCAGATCTGCTTTAGTCGAGGAAATAACATAAACGTGTTCTTGTTTGCCTTAAGGAAACTTCTCCTCTGTTGTGTGGAGACTCATTCGCTCTTGACATCGCTGGCTTTCCTGTGTAATTAAAGCTCCGCTGATACTTTAGTGGAGGAATCTGCGGTTACAAACTTGCCTCAGAGCCTGAAACAGTTGACTTGTCAAACCTGAATGCAGCTGGCAGCAGAATACAGGTGATACTGCAACACCGACCTTTTTGTTTGGTTTGTTCCTCACTTCTTACCTTCGGTGAAGGAAAACAGACCACAACCACCCCCCCCTTTCTCCTCCCCTCATTTTTCTCAACATATCAATATCTCTCCATCTCTCTCTTGCTGTTCTCCCATGTTATCTAAAAGCCAAAGGATTAGCTGAAGAATAAACTCCAAAGGGAGAGAATGATAACAAAGCAGGAGTACATCCCAGAAACAAACATCACAGTTAATTTAGAACGAGCTTGCAGTCATTTGGCAATGGCCGCTAAAGTTTCAAACTAATTCACTTCTATTTTTCTCAGCTAAACACAGGTATGTAGAAGTATACCCTGGTGTACCGAAGTCCCAGCATATAGAGACACGCTAAAGCTCTGAGGGTTGCAGGTGTGATTTCTTAGCTCAAAGGGACACGTTAAAACCTCAGCTGTCGTTGACAGGCCGCGGCCTGCCCCAACCCGTACGGATGAATCAGATTTTGAAAGTGAAAACTCACAATTCGAGTTCCAATGACTCAAATATATACCCATCCATGAAAATAATCTACAGAATGAAAAATAAGTAATGGAATCGAGTGTCTACCTCAAGCATCATGTACACATTCCAGTGTGCAGTTTTTTGGCAGAATTGAAATATTCCAGAGTTGGATGGAAAGAAAGAAGTATTGTGTTTTTAGTTAGCTTAGATTGAACTATTACTAACCATAAAAGACCAGAAGGGACAAAACTGATTCTACAAAAAGCCACCATAGGCAACTTACTGAGGCTCAGGTGAGATATTCAACTGTTTGCTTTACCTGCACTACTGGGGGGGGGGGGACTTATGCACCAGAGGATTAGTTGGTGATCAAAACTGGTCCCTTTTCTGTTTGACCTGTACTGGGTGGGCAGAAGACAATGTGCTGTATTCATTTTTTTTTTAGGTTTTGAAGAAATGTCTCTATAACCTGACTTTATTGAGAGTGACGGATATGGATCTGCAATATGTTGCATTTCTAGTGAACATAATTATGTCAGGGGTGATTTATGATACATTTTTCTTGTGAATTTAACAAAAAAAAAGGCTCTCGTCAGTTGATTACAGATCTCGGCCCAGAAAACTGGGCCTCAGAGCTCGGGGCGAAGCTGGGAACGGCAGGACCGGTTCGTCTTCCATCTAGGAGCACAAACACGGCGTGGAAAAAGCCGCCTTCGCTTCCTGCTGCTGAAAGCTGAGATTGAGTCGCAACCTTTGGTCAAGTGTCAATACAGAAAAGCTCCCTCACAGCAAAGCAAACAGCGACGAAGAGGCGAGTTACAGCAATCACTCAAAAGCTTTTCAGCCACCTTTTGCAGCAAACATGTGCCAAAGTCATGTTACAGACTGGAAAACTGGTTATTATCAATACATTCTGAGTTAATAAATGACATGCATTAATACTCCGCCCATGAACATAGCTTCCAGTGACCAAAAGCTCCAGTCAGGGTGTTTACTCTGGCTGTGGAGTAGTTTTCTTTTTCCCTCACTAAAAGAGATATGGACGTGCTTTGATAGCACGCAACAGTGATACAGTGTCAGACTTGGGGCTTTTGTTACTCCCTGACTTCTTGTTATATTCAGGGCTGCTGAAAAGACTTCTTTTCCCTCCGTTCTCACATTCGAACGCAGCAAACTTGCAACACGGGACTCTTGCAATGCATATAAAATGCCCCCGGTGGTAATGTTCAATTTCCAATTTGGCTTGTTTGCTGTGACAAAATTCCGCCTTGATATAAACTGAGATGAGGCCGTCATGATCCACACGGATATGAAAAATATGATTCCAAATGCACTCCGTTTTGTCATGCAGATTCGGGGTTGTTTAAACTCTCAGGTAATGAGCCTTTCAAATGAGTCGTGGCACACACACACACACACACACACAGATCTGTAATTCAACACTACATGTCTCCAAACTGATAATACCAAAATAGCTTGAACGCTGTGTACAGTGGAATCTGAAATGGTTGGGAATTGTGTGTGCGTTGCAGTGTGTGTAGGAGACCGGAAAAGCCTCGGTGCACAAAAACAAACAAACAAGGTTCCGAGCAGCGGTAATGAAGCCCTCATTAGTCCTTATTATGTGCTGCGGGGCCCGAGCCCAGAGGCCGGAGGACCCCCTTTGGCGGTTCCACCCCAGCTACCACACACAGGAAGACGAGTGTTTTGGGATCAGCTCTGAAGGGCCCCTCTCCCCATCGGCCGAGAGTTTTCAGGGAAGCAGGCAGGGACAGGTGGCTCGGTTTGAAGACGGTAAAAACAAGCTAAGGGAAATTAGAACGCACCAAAAAGGAGGGGGAAAAAAGGAAAAAAAAGGCAAGACGTGCATAAAAGAGGAAAACGGGAGGGCCCACACTTTGTTCTTTTATCACCCCATCCCCTTCGGGCACAGCAGGTCTCATTTAGCAGCTCCATAACAGTGGGGCAAGATGCATGCACGCACATGCCGTGCACACACACACGGCCCCGGGGTCATACCTGGCCTGACTGCACCCATCTGCAATAAGTGCTCCACGCCTCGTTTTTAAAAGGAAAAAAGAAAGAAAGACAGAAAGTAAGTAAGTAAGTAAGTAAGTAAGAAAGGAAGAAAGAAAGAAAGAAAGGAATCAGAGGAGGCCAGGAAAGCCCTTTTAAATTAAGCCCAACAAGTCCACCTGAGGTGATTAAATCCTCTACACCAGCTTAAGTGTTCATTTCTTTTTTTAGAAAAATGGGGAAGTAGTTCGTCCACAAGCAAGTCAAAATGTCAAAATGTCCTCTCCCACTCGCCCCCTAATCATTTGGTCACTCCCTTGTTGGGCACACGAAAACCGAGCAAGGATTCAGTCAAATCGATTCACGGAGCCTCGCCCGCACACACACACACACACACACACACACACAACCGGCCTGAGCAGGGTAAGGTCTTGGCACCTGTCGCATTGGAACAACAGGGCCTCAGTACCTGGGAAACCAGATAACAGCAGCGGTTAAGAGCTCACAGTTGCTCTGCCTGTGTCAACAATGCCCCCCCCCCCCCCCCCCTTCCCCACCCGGGCACACACACACACACACACACACTTACTCCGGTGCAGTCATAGGAGCATGACTAAAATCCTACACTCATCCAGGAAGAGCTCTACACACTCAGACCAAACACACCCACATGATGTTTTATGGGTGTGTGTGAGTGTGTGTGTGTGTGTGTGTGTCAAAAACACGAGAGACAAAACTCTCAATTTAACTCCCCAGCCTTTTTCTTGTGTCTGGAAATTTGTGGTTTTCTACAGTTTTAAAAGCGAGCAAGTGTCGCTTCAGTTGAGGAGAGTTGACACTTTTTTTTTTTTGGGTTGTTTTTCCTGCCATTTTTCTCTGCGTCACGGCCGAGTTTGAGAGCCTCGCAGGTGTCACAAGGCGGCCCAAGCGGGAAATCCATCCCAAACCCATCTGTCCGTCTGAATTATTACTGTGGGGTGTAAACCAATCCAGCAAAGTCAGCGTCTAAGCCCTCCTCTATTATCGTCTGCAGCGCCATTCCCAGACACACCCTTCTTCTCTCCCTCTCTCTCTCACACACACACACACACACACTGAGGGGAAAACTCATATACATGTGTGTGAACTCATGCTGACACCCCAGCTCAAAAGCAATTTGGCTGCATTCTCCAGGTTTTGCAGTTTCACCTGCTAGTGCCACACTTTTATTTTGAAAAACTGCCCCATGATTGTGAAGCTGGAAAAGATAATGGAGCCCTTTTATTTATTATTAGCGGCATGGTGTGTGTGCACAATCAATTTGCACATCTCCTAAAACACACCCAGGCAAATATGAACGCAAATATGACTCACGCACACTCGGGCTCAGGAGTTGGAATCCCGCCCCGGGAGTTGGTTCACTTTCAAAGGGTAGTGGATTTTTTATTATATGCATACCTAAGTTTGTTTGTAACAATTATTTGATGTTTGCTTCAGTTTAAAATACTCAAATGTATTTATTCTAGTGACTTCATTAGTATTGATTCTTGGAAACTAGGGGGGGGGGGACGTCTTTTCCTCACCTGGAAGATGAGCACTTTGAAGTGGTTCCTCTTCAGCAGGTGGCTGTGGTTGGCCTCCAGCTTCTTGACCTGCACCGCCTGTCTGTCCAGGCGCTCCTTGACCTCCTTCAGGTTGCCGCTGACTTTGCGCGAGCGCTCCAGCAGCTTGCCGACGCTGTTGGAGGTGCTGACGTGCGTCTTGGACAGGCGGGTGACGTCGCCCTGCACCACGCGCACGGCGCCCTCCAGCTCGGCCTGCCGCCGCTCCATGCGCTGCTGGTTGTCCTGCACCGCCTCCAGCATGTTGACCAGCTTGTCCAGGAGCGCCACCACGGTGATGGCGCTCACCTGGCCGCGGTCCGCCGGGCTGCCGGGGGCCGCCGTGGGGCTGGTGGGGCTGGTCGGGCTCTTTAGGCCCAGCCGGGACAGGGTTCCGCTCGGGGTCGGGGAGGACGGGGCTGAGGAGGACGGGGCGAAGCTGGGAATGAGGAGTTCGGAGTTTTCGGGCTGCTGTGGGATGGTGTGGGTGCTGCCCGTGATGCTGCTCGGCTCGGCGCGGGACGCGTCTTCCTCCATGGCGCACGGTGGGGTTCGGATATCCCGGTTAAATGGGAATAAGAGTAAAGAAAAAAACCCCAAAAAGTTTAGAAGTTGCTCCAAATGCGCTTAGATGCTTCTCTTGCGCCCTTCAGATGGAAACTCAGGGCGAGGTGTGTAACTTCTTGGAGTTGATTGGCCTCCACGCCCCTTTTTTGCCCCTTCTCTCTCTCACACACACACGCACAAACACGCAGTGAACTTTCAAAACACCTCCCCTGCGAGCCAAAAGGCTGGGAGAGTGGGAGGAGGGAGGAGGGAGGGGGGGGGGGGGGTG